ATCGTCGCATTTCCCAAGACAGGAAGGACAGTGCTGATCTTGGATCCAACTGTCCACTTTGAGAGCAATGACCTCGATCAGGCAGGTGAAGTGGAAAGGGAAAAGAAGAACACGTATGATGAATGTATCCCTTTCCTAAAAGAGAAATTCTGTGAGACCTTCGGAGAGAGAGAGTTCACCGTGAGAGGCCTCTGGTTTGGGTCTCGCGGAACGATCCCGGAAAGAACAAGGAGCTTTCTCGAGGAACTAGGTGTTGATGTTGGGGAGCTCGCAGTATTGGCCGAAAATATTATTTTGGACTCCCTGGGAATCATCCATTATCATATCTATACCGATTGAGGACATCTGGTAATAACTGTTTATTAAATTTTGAATTGATCCGCTGTCGTCCTGTCTTTTTGTCTACATTCTGGGAATTGCTGTGTTGTGTTTCAAAAAGAACAAGGAGCTTCCTTGAGGAACTAGGTGTCGAAATTAAGGACGTAGCGAGGTTGGCTGAAAATATAGTCTTTGACTCCATGGAAATCATTCACCACCACGTGCATGCCTAGGCTGAGTTTTAATTAAGTATTTATTTATTTAATGAAAAATAGAAAAAAAGAGAGATAAAGAGAGAGAAGTGAGAGAAAGGGAAATTAAATGTTAAAAAAAAAAAGCATGAACAATGAAAGAAAAAAAATGTATATATATATATATAATATATATATATATATATATATATATATATTACTAATATAATCTATTTTACTAATATAAACTAACCACTTCTATATATTTATATATAAGTTCATTTATTGTCCCACAGATTAACGAGTATGCTGTGTATATAGCAACCCAATATAAATGAGCAGCAATCTTTTATATTTTATATGAAAATAAAGTGTTTCTTTCTATGACATTGTGTTGGTTTATGTTGTGCGCATTTTGATATTGCATTTCTAGCATTCAGAGTTTTTTTTTGTTGGAAAAAAAATATTGTATAATAATAATTGTTTAATGTTGTATATTAATAATATTTTATATGATCAGTATAAAGAAAAGGGAAAAAGAAGAAATATGATAACAAAATAATATAATATAAGTGTAATGTAAAATAAATGTAATGTCCAATGTGATTGATCAGTATGCTGTTTACAAAGAAACTCTATGCAGTAGGGCAGTATTACTTTCAATAAAATATTTCTCTCTATAGTAAAATATAGAATGTGAGGCAATGGCAGTTGAACATTAAGTATATGGCAGTAAAAGTTACACAGCTGCTTTCACACTAGTAAAATGAAAAATGTAACCATGTTTTAACAACAAATGTTTTAGAATTCATCATTTGGAACAAGTCAGTTTTATATCAAATTGAAATTACATATTTCATTAAATACTTCATTGTTCTTTCATGATAATTTGATGTGAAATAAGAAACTTTTGGGTCATATATCCCAAAAGAAGTGATAGACTGGAAAATAAAGGGTTTCTTAAATACATCTATTTTTAAAAATATATGAAGACTGCGATATTCATGTATACTAGAGCATTATCTTTGTTTACATGAGATAAGAATGATACATGTTTATTTTGAATCTGGGAGGGTTAACATTTATTTTGAAGTACACCAGCAAATTATGAACTTTCTGCTCAAGCTACATGAAGTTTGTAACCTACATATGATTTATTGACACACAAGAAGAGGATTAAGTCTGTGGGTCACCGATTCCAACTAATTTTTTTTTTAGTGAAACTACATAAAAAATATTAAAAACATGTCTCGGCGTTCTTTCCAATGGGTCCTAGGAGCCGAGAAAACAAATATTTTATATAATTTCAAACAAAATGTATGTTATTTATTTTTGCCTTTGCTTTGCCCGGATTAGCAGGTTACTATTTATCAATTTTTTTTTCCAAAATAAGAAAAAGATATTAACTATTGTGTTAAATGTGTTATAATGGATCCTAAATTACAAAAACCAAAAGGTGCTTCCAGTAAACTAGGCCAAATAAATTTTTGTTATGATAAAACAAATTAGATTCCTTATGCTCATATATGTTGTTAATACTATATAATTGTATATTAGTTTTGGAAAATAGTCTGTAGCGATTAATAAGTATGCTGTGTTTAAAGCAACCCAATGTAATTGGGCAGCACCCTTTTAAGATAATAAAGTGATTCTCTCTCTCTCTTCAAAACCCTTAAATACGAGTTACTATATAAATAAAAAAATACAACCTTTAGTACTTAATTTTCTTGGATGAGTGTTTCCGGCCTTCAACTAAAGCATTCATAACTCCTCAGAATTTCCTTCAAATTTAACTTTAATATAACCGTTGGAAAGCTAAATTAATGCTCTTCCAACTGACACTAATAACTGGATTTCATTTTTTTTTCCAAGCTAAAAATTAAGAAAAATTCTAACCTATTTTTATTTTATAACTTTAGTTTTAATTTGTTTACCAAGATCAGATTTATATCATTTCATGTAGCACACACAGGCCTCAATTCCTATTCATTTTTGTGTGAATCAGTGAAGCCGTTCTAAAGTTATAACAAGTTTTGTTGTTGATGAAATTTCCAAGTGTCCAACCTAGCCAAAAATTTCGTGCAGAAAATTTTAATTTTTGATTGCAATAAAAATTTGTATTTAAAGGTTTTTGAGGTGTAAAAATGAATATCAACTTTGCTTCTCACTAAAAAGATATTTACTCCCACATTGCTATGTCAGTTGGTCCAAATTGTGCCCATGCTTGTAGCTTTCTATTTATTAAATAGAAATAAATATTTCTATTTTATATATATAGATATATAGAAAATAGATCACAAATATTTATTAAAAACCGGTCTGGTATCTAGTGTAATTTTTTTTTTTTGTGAGAAACAAATGAGGAGTTATGAATGCTTTAGTTGACGGCCAGAAAAACATTCATCCAAAAAAATCAAGTACTAAAGGTTGTATTTTTTTATTTATATAACAACTTATATTTAAGAGTTTTAAAGGACCCTAAAAAGGATCTAATTTGTTTGTCATAACAAAAAATTTACTTGGCATACTTTACTGCTAAAGCACCTTTGGTTTTTGTAATTTATGATACATTATAACTCATTTAAAACAATAGTTAATATTTTTTTCTTATTCTGAACAAAACAACAAAACAATTGATATATAGTAACCCACTAATCCGGGCAAAAATAAATAACATAAATTTTGTTTGAAATTATATAAAATATTGTTTTCTCAGTTCCTAGGACCCATTGGAAAGAATGCCAGGACATGTATCTAATATTTTTTGATGCAGTTTCACCAAAAAAAATTTGGGTGAAATTGGTGACCCACAGACTTAATCCTCTCCTTGTGAGTCCAAGTTAGACATGATAATTAAATATAAATAAACAATATACAATAATAATAAGCAATTCAAATAAACAGACCAATTTAATTACTTTATAGACTACTTGAGTGAGAAATATGGGATTATGGTTTACAAAGTTGCTTGAACTTTCCCCATATTCCATAGACAATAGAAAAAATATTTTCAGAAAATCCTTTTAGAGGTTTCTGTATATCTGGACCTCAAAACTATAAGTTCTGTCATGATACTATCCCTGTCTGCTGCTTTGTCGATGCCCATCTTCTCTACAACCCATGATTCTCTCAGATCACATTATTACATTTTCCTGCTACTGTTCCTTCCCTGTCTTCCATTCTTTCTTTAGTGCCACAAGAGAATAGTCCAGCAACAGAGCTATCTCTCCAATGATTCCTATTCTCTAGGAATTAATTATCCTTTTTCACTCTTCACATATCTAATAAATTTACTCCTTCCCTTTTATCGCTTATAATCTTTACCAGAATATTTTTGTTTTATTTATGCTCATTTTGCAGCCATTTTAGCTTCCTTTCTCCTTCTGGTTTAGAGATTCTAGTTGGCTTTACTCTTGACTCTATAATACTGTTTTATTTATACAGACACAGACTTCAACCAAACTTCCCCGATCTTTTTTGACAGATGAATATTTGGTGCAATAATTCTTAATAGATGGGTTCCACATTTTATACTTTATTGAAGAGGCTCTCATTCATGATGATACCAACACCTATTATGCTATGAAACCAGAAACCACTCCTGAGAAGATAAGCACGAAGTACATATTCGACTTCTCTATGGCATTTTTTCATTATTTCACAAATTCTTAAAAAGTTTACTCTGTCTCTATTTTGTAGTCTAAATTATTTTCCAGTGTTATGTGCCAGAATATTCCATTTTAAAAATCTAATATTCTTTTGAGTACTGCATTGTAACTGTAGAGAATGGCCTACTTAGAGTTCTTTGAATTATTCATTTTCTCTTAAGAGTGATGGGACCAGTAGGAGATACCCCATATCTTCATGATAACTAGCCTCCTTTTTTTTTTTTTAGGAAGTAGGGTGACCTGGCAATAATCTCCACCACTCGTTTTCCCCGATCTAGGGGGCCAGTTGCTAATTACAGTCAGAGATGGTTAAAAACTACTTTGAGTACCAAGTATTTTACTAAAATTTAATTAATATTAATAATTTGATTACTACTTCACTTAATCATCAATTATCAAGTAAATTAGTGATTAAATTCCTTAGTACAGATAGGCCACTATTTGAGTGAATTGTTCTGCACTTGGAACACAGAGTAGTTTTTACCTATATCATTACAGTTAGAAGACTTGGTGATGGGCCCACTACTTCTCTATGCTAGATACAAGAAAGAAACTTTTTTAAAAAGATTTGCTTTAGTAACAAAAAGTTATCACAACATAAAACTTGAAATACCCAAACATTAATGTATTAATGATTAGTAAATTAAATATTAATCCCCAATTTACTTGTAAACATGCGGCATTAGTAATTTTATTGAAATATGACTCCTGAATAGACTTAAGAAAATGTTAAGAATTATTTGGTGAGCCAGAAAAGGATAGTAGGGTTAAAAATCAAACATGTTTGTTTTGAAGGGTTATGAGAGGAATCGGTTGTACTCACTGATGATAATAGTTATATCTCCTGCAATTGATGTATTGGACACTGGAGAAATGGTAGATTTTACTGAAAAATAAATATGAATTTCAAGAGATTTTTTCCCAGTTTTATTCAGGTATTTTTATTGAATAAAGCAACTCAAAAATCAAACAGTAACAGTATAAATTTAAAACATATATAAGTAAAAACATTTGAATGAAACGATCAAGTTTGACATGATAACCAACTATAATACAGAATCATACAGCCTAAGAAAAAGAATTTCAAAAAAAATTCTTTTAATTTATGAGAAATTAAAAAAAAAACACCTTAAAGACCTTAAAATTATTAATTTATTTGGTATTAACATTTATACTGACAGATTCAACTTATTTTTGTAAAATTTTTAGGACAAATTTACAAAACTAGTGTAGGGCCAAAATTGAATAATATGAACATATTTAATACCTTCATCTGCACACATAAGCCCATCTTTCATTAGGACCAAGCCGTCTGGACAGGCACAAGATATTTTAGGTGATTTTGCATTTATTTGAGGAGCTGGTAGACATAAATGTGAACAATGGCCATTAACTGCTGCACATTGATTAATTCCATCAGGCTGTCTATATGGATGATAAACATGAACCACCATGGGATTTTGAAGCTATAAAATAAACAAAAACAAGTTAAACAAATATAAATTAGTTTCAATGCAAAATATTACTATAATTAATTTAAAATAGTGACTGCTAAAATTCAACTATGTGCAGTTTAGAATTCATTCATTCAAAGAATTTTCATGAGTGTGTCATTAATATTTGTAATACTACTTTTACTTTCACTTACCTAGAATTGAAATATATAGTAAGGGAAAGCATTAGGATCATGAAAAATTTTGAATCTTGAGTTTCCAATGGAAATACTTATTTAAGGTACCCAAAAGTCTAAATAACTAAGTCAAAATGATCTGAGTTTATGTCAGACATCATATCAGCCGTGATGAAATCACAATCGAATTCTATAGGTCCAGATGCCATTCCCACAAAATTATGCCTGCCTGAAATCCTTCCTGTTCTCCTTTTCATCTATAATTTCTCCCTCCAGAACTCAGTATTCCCGACCTCTTGGGAAAAAGCCATTTAAGATTTTTACTAAAAATCCTAAAACTTCTTCTCCTGTAGATTTCTGCCTAATCTGTATCTTTTATAACCATTCAAAACCCCTGGAAAGAATAGCGCAATGTCAAGTTTCCAACTTCTTCGAACAGTTCAATGAACTTGACACTTACCAATCTGGTTTTTGACCAGGTGAATCCATACAATCCACCCTAATAAAAATCATTAGGGATGTTCAGTCTGCCATAGATGACAAAAAACTTGTACTCTTCGATTTCTCCAAAGTCTTTGATACTGTTTAGGCAATTTCCCAAATTTAATTTAAAAAGGCAAATAACTCTAATGAGTTCTACTTAGGCAACATTCGACATTATTTTGGCAGTGGACTGTATTTTAATTGAAAGTGGTAGGTTATATGAATTATTCAAATAAATACTCACCCTCTTATACTGTAATATAAAAGTTAATTGGTCTTTGAAGGTACCAGAAGGGTGCCCTTCTCTGGTCTGACTTCTGTCTGGCCTGAGGGGCTGGCTTGGAATGGGCTGAGAGTCTCGTGGTTCCGCCAGCTCAAATCTCATCTTTTAGATCTTATCAGATCCGTTTTCATGTCTCACCGCAATGTGGTGCTCGGGTATAATAGTATTTACAAAAACATCCCCCACCATGAAATATCTCATTTCACAAACAAACAAACAAAAAGAAAAAACAAACTCATAGATTGGTAATTACTAGGCAAGGCACAAACACAAGGAAAATTGTTTGGTTTACAATAAAGAAAGAGAGAAATTATTCAAAACATACTTTTTGAAGATAAAAAATAAAAGTGAACCAGATCAAAGATAGGCTAAAAAATTATAACTCATTTAAAATAAAAATGGCTCCTCATTAAATTTAAGAAAAGAAAAAAGTATACATATCAATAAAAGGTTTCTCCAGAAGGGAAAGGCACTAACTTGTGCACCGATTGCACCAAAGTAGCTTTAGCAGTCCTTAATTTTACTCCCCTAAGAACTCCGTCTTTATCCATAATGTTATGAGCCTGGTTAAGGAACCGTTATATGGTTTTGCCACTGTTAAGGCAATCAATTAATTCAGTGAAGAATTTCTTCTGAACAAACCTGACATAAATCATCAATGAATCCTTAAGCTTGTCAGCAGTCAAGGCTCCAGCAGTCAAAACACCATGCTCCCAATTTTAGCAATGTTTAATAAATTTTAAAATAAAAGCGAAAACCCTGGGCTGCTTTAAAAGGCTCCTGGAGTATTTTTCCAAGCAAATCAACAAATCATTAGGTTTTTTAGCAGCTAACAGAGATATTGTTTTTATTTCAGGCAGAATGGATCGAGGTTCAATATGGTAAATAGGCCAGTCAGAAGGAGGCAACGTAATAAATGCCAGGCTGTTCCAATAAAGCTCATGTGAAAGTATCTGATGTGGTGTGATAAACAATCGGCTGGATACTGTTTTCTAGGAATATAGTACCAACAACTGGGTTCATTTACTTCTAAAATCTAGACTACGGGATTGGCAACATAAATCTTAAGTTCATGAGGTGGTGTCTGTAACCAATAGACTACATTAGGAGAATCCGGAAAATAATATACTTATTATATATATATGGTGTCTTCAAGGAATATATAAGCCCTCATACTATAAAATTTTGTATTCTACTTCCAATGACGTTTCGAGCTGATTAGCTCATTATCAAGTCATCTACAAATAAAAATTAAAAAAGATAATTTACAACAATGATTGCTCATTATCTAGTCCTATAAAAAGTGAGCACATATCAAAAAAATGTTATCTACCAAAATGTATTTCTACATTATAATTTCATTGAACTATTTGCAGTACACAAAATACAAAAAATAACCATATTTCTCATCTCCTTGTTAGCGCATTTATTGATACTTGTCATTCTACAATAAAAATTTGTGTATGTGATTATTTCAGAACATATACGATTTCTATTTTGTTTTATTTAAAATGTATGCTCACCCCATGCAGTACTATCTTCTCCCTCTATTGTTTAACACTGACTGCACATTTGAGCTCTTTAGTAGTATAGAGTAGATAACATTTTTTTGGTAAGTTCTCATTTTTTATATGACTTGATAATCAGCTAATCAGCTTGAAACGTCGTTGGAAGTAGAATAAAAAATGTTATAGTGTAAGGGCTTATATATTACTTGAAGATAACATATATAGGAACAACGAGTGCTCTTGAAAAGTACTACTAGTAGCTAAATATGCAATATATTTCATTAATTCACAAACAACTTTTGAGTTTATCAATACACGCAAGTAGTCTGGAGACAAGGAGAGCAGTGTTTAATTCCAAACGAGGCACTGATTGAATCTTAAGTGAGGCCACATTACTTTTTTTCCATTAACAAATGAATTTTGGTAGTATCTCCTGGCACCCAACTTTCAGGGAGATCACACACCCATAACCTTTCTCAGAAGCGTCTGAAAAGGCAATTAGCTGCATGGATGATGCATTCTGGCTGACAATACGAGGAAGGCAAACATTTCTCAAGCTTGGAAATTCTTCAAGGAAAACGTTCCACAATGAAGACACACTAGAGGGTAACTCAACATCCCAATCAACCTTAAGCAGCCGCAAACGTTGTAATATACATTTAACAGAAAAGATTATAGGACAAATATATTCATTTATATAAAAAATTTTGGCAATGAAGGATAGAATATCTCGCTTAGTAAAAATAGGCTCACTTTCTTGTATTGAATACCTGAAATGATCAAATTTGGGATCCAAAATCAAACCCAAAACCTTGAAGGCCGAGGAATCTCCATCCAGGCACAACAGAACTTCTTGAATACCCTCGGGTATAACAGAAAGTATTTTTTCGGAATTTCTAGAGAACTTTCTGAGTTCAAACCCACCTGCTCCAATTAAGGCCATCAACTCATTATACAGCTCCAGAGCCTCATCACTATTGTGAGCACCAGTGATTACGTTTTATACATAAATTTGGTCACGACACTGGGCAGATTTAGGAAAATTATGGCCTTCTTCCCGAAATAACTGTACAATGACTCTCTGAGCAATAAATGGAGAACATTTCAACCCAAATGGCAAGGTAACCAACTCATAATCCTAGATCGGCTGTGAAGATTCACTTCTTCCAAAAAAAGTAATAAGTTTTGATTGTTTCGGCAATGTGAATACACCTAAACATCATTTTAATATCACATGCTAAGGCCACAGGAAAGCATCTAAAATGGTCTATCACTTCCACAACATCAGTTTGGAGCTGCAGACTGGTCAAAAGTAAATCATTCAGTGAGTGCATCCCACCATCTTCTCCGAACTGTTAAACACGACTCTAAATTTGTGGTGGAAGAATCTTTAATAACTCCATATTGGGTCATGACGTATGGTTCTTGGCGAGGTGGACATGATCCAGTCTTATATATATTCGTCCATCTGTGCAGCATAGGCAGACTTATACTTCGGATCTCCCATAAACCTACTTTCCAGATTTCTAAATCAGCGTAGAGCTATCTCTCTAGTAGAATCAAGATTAATCAGCTGGTTAGAATAAAACAGAAGCAAAACCACACATCTACCCTGGAGATCACAAGCGCATGTATTTTTAAAGTGATCTTCGCAAAATGCATCTTCCGCATTTGGCGGAATCAAAACTGTGACTACCTTAGTCTCCCAAAATTGCTTTAATTCCTTCAGTAAGAAAAGGCTGGTCTGCGTGGATAGAGTACATACTGAAGTTGTAGGGCTTTCTGAGAGTGTGTCCCCAAATAATACTCGAGCGTGTCCCCAAATAATACTCATCCTAATGAGGTATAAATAGCCTTCGGTTGAACATTCAGAAATAAAACAGGGTCATTTAAAACCTCTCCATACATCTCAGCACCCAGAAGTAGATCAACTTTACCCAGCATATGGAATTGAGAGTCTGCAAGTTCAATCGAAGCAAATCTATTCTACACTTCTTGGGACACGGCAAAAGAATGCAAACTTCCACTGATGCAAGGCAGCACTCTGGCTGAAAACTTGTATATATTGTTGTTTCTTATCAGACCCAACTTCACTTTAACTTCAGCTGAAGATGAAGATATGGACTCCAGACACAACAAGAGGACTAACTCAGGAACAAAGGCATAACTTTTTCATTAGATCAGTGGTAATTAAATTAATTTGGGAACCTGAATCTATCTCCATTCTACATGTATAACACTGACCTGAACTTGAACAAATTCTACTCAAGACAGTACCCAGAAGTACCTGGGAGTTGGTAATAGCATGGCACGAAACTACACGAGAATTGTTTGTTACTTGAGACTGGGAGGGCTTAGTGTTTTCAGCCTTATATAACATTGTATGGTGACTCTTTTTGCCAAAAGTTGGCAACAGCCTTTACTTTGGCATTTAGGCAAGCGATGAGGTCCCATACATGAAAAGCATAAATCGTACTTCTTTAGTAGGTCATAGCGATCATAAACATCAGCATCTAGAAACTGAGGGCAGTTTATAATGTTATGACTTGATTTACAGACTGGTCATTCTAACTTAAATTTCTGATTATCTAGTCTATTGCTGGTTAAAAATGTTTTTTGCTGAACTTTAGGCAGTGCAATTTTGGATGTAGAAGGCTCGGAACACATTTCTGTGACTCTAAGTTGTGACCTAACAAATTTGAAAAATTATTCAAAGCTAGGAACTGTCTCTTCGCTGAGACTATTCTTTATTCTTCTAGTATTAGGGTCTACAAAGTTCAGTCCGAGATGCAGTAAAACAAAATCAGCAAGATTATTGAGTTTAAGGTTCTTTAAAGTATAATTATCTTCAAACGTGTACAGACAGTTTCTAAAGTTGGCAGAATTATCGACAGAAAATGATTTAAACTCTATAATTTTGTTAAGATGGTAGGTTGCAATGATCCTCTTATTACTCTAACACTTTACTAATTTATTAAAGGCCAAGTTGTAATTTTATCCATTAAACTCAATTGAAGAAATGGCCTGTGAAGCAGGATGAACTAAAAGTGATTGAGATAAGAAAATTTGACTATATCCGTGTGATTTCGATAATGAATCAGGGCATCAAATAATGATCTAAATGAAAAAAATTGTTCGTACTGTCCAGAAAATTGAGGGATCTCTAGCTCTGGCAATTTAGAATGTGCTACTGGTTCAGACATGCTGGGTTGAGAAGCACGAACTACTACTACGTGCTCAGCTTTAATTAATCTCTCATGAGCAACTTTTATCTCATATATTTAAAAAAACAAAAGCGAATCAATAGGCCAAATATCAATATTAGCCCTGAAATAGACGATTTTTACAAAAACTCTCATAACCTACCAGGCAATTTTCCTCCTTAGTGTACAGCAAAACATCGGTAATATGGCAAAAAAAAAATATATATAATCATGTGCGGTTGACCAAAATGTTTAGACAACTTTTCAAATTTAATTAAAAAAGGCAAATAAATCTAATTAGTTCTACTTAGGCAACATTCGACATTATTTTGGCAGTGGACTGTATTTTGATTGAAAGTGGTAGGTTATATGAATTATGCAAATAAATACTAACCCTTTTATGCTGGCATATAAAAGTTACTTGGTCTTTAAAGGTAGAAGGGATGCCTTCTCCGGTCTGACTTCTGTCTGGTCTGAGTGGCTGACTTGGAATAGGCTGAGAGGGTCTCCTGGCTTGGCTGGATCAAATCTCATCTTTTAGATCTTATCAGATCTGTTTTCACGTCTCACAGCAACGCGGCGCTCGGGTATAATTGTATTAACACAAAACAGATACCATTAACCATTCCATCTTTTTTTCCAAATTAAAATTGTTATCCTTTACCAACAGCTCTATCCTTTGGTTTCAATATTTTCTCTCTCAACGTACCCAAGCATTAGTTATTCCTAAACGATCTTTGTCTTCCTATCTTACTCTATCCTCAGGAGTGGCTCAGGGCTCTAGCATATCTCCTTTTTAGTTTTTATACCAATGGCCTTCATAAATCCATCCTGCATTGTTCCCATCACTTCTATGCTGATGATTCCCTAATTTACTTATCCTTCTCTCTCTCTAAGTTGTATGATGTGTTTATTAAAATACAAGAAGACCTAAATCGGATCAGTGCCTGGGCAAACATAAATGGATTAAAGTTAAACACTGCTAAAACCCAAGCCATTGACATTGTTTCTAAACCCCTTCTTAGATTCAATACCAACATTCTTATCATGTACTTTAATGACAATCCCATCACCTTCAGCTCTTCAGTTAAAAACTAAGGCATTTCATAGACTAAAACCTCTCCTGGAATCACCATAATGTCCACATTTCCCAACATTCAATTCAATCCCTGAAACTATGCCATGGCATCCACCATCTCCTACCCAACCTATGTCCACACGTAGACTCCTAGTATCCAGGAGGGGGAAGAAATCATCCTTCACCCTTTCGTTTTTATCTTTGGTTGGAGCATTCACATTAATTATAGTGGTGTGGAACTAACAACCTTTACCTTGTAATACAAAGATTCTCTCTTTAATGATTGATTTCCTTGCTGCTGGACCAGTTATAAATCCACTTCTGGGTGTTCCATTTAAATTGTTTCTTCCAGTGAAGACTAGTTTATGGCCATCAATAGTGATTTCACATCCTTCTGACCATTTTACCTTATTGGTGTGGCTGTTAACAGTATATTGTAACTTTTTTGTTCATTGAATACAGCTTTTCCAACTCCTGGTCTGTATAAGCTCCAAACTTTCCATGATCCACTGTACAGTCCGTTATACAAAGCAGGGGTCAGTACTGTGTTAAGGAAGTCCGATTTTCCAAGGGTAGAATTAGTTTTCATAATAAATTTTTTTTATAGCATAGGGTTATTATTTCTCCCTCCATAAACTCTTGAGAAGTAGTGTGTTTTCGAAGGCCTCGAAAGTGAGAATTTATAAGAAAATTATACAACTAGTTCTTACATATGGCTCAGAATGTTGGACTACAACTAAAGCCCTTGAGCATCTCCTTCTCTGTTTCGAAAGAAAAGTGCTTTGCCGTATATATGGTGGTATATATGAGGGAGGCGCATGGAGAAGAAGAGCGAATGCTGAGTTAAGAGCGAGAATAGACGTATCAACATTCGTAAAGGTATCAAGACTTCTCTGGGCTGGTAACGTCATAAGGATGGATCCAAACGAAGTTCCTTACAAGATCTTAGCTGGGCAAATATATGGTACCAGGCGGGTTGGACGCCCCAGACTTCGCTGGGAAGACTGCGTGGCTGCAGACGCGAGATCTCTGCTCGGTGTTATGAACTGGAAGGCAGCAGCACGGAACAGGCAGGACTGGCGGTCTAAGCTTGAGCAGGCTATGACTCAACTAGTGGGTCGCAACGCCGAATAAGAAGAAGAGGGTTATTAGCTATGATGCAAGACATAAGAATCACTCATCAATCTGAGAATCTCTGAATGAGGATGATACTGCCCCATACGGGAATTGAACTCGCACTAGAGATAAAAAAAATAAAAATATAATTTTTCTTTGATACTAACTTCAGGGAAATGAAATTAAAATCTCCTCTACATGCAGAGTGTACTTTAACAGGAACCTTCATTCAACCATCGTGGCCCATTCCAATACTGCAAGCTAACATCAATATTTATTTAGTTAATAATTTCAACAGAAAATAAAGGGCTGGTTGTAGAGTGTATTTCTGCAAAAATACTAGTTTTTGTCTATTCAGTGATTATCAAATAGATACTGTAGTAAACATCCCTCGCTCTTCAAAAAATTCAAACAACATCCAAACAATCCTTCTATACTTTAACTATTATTCTCTTTACAGCATTTTAACTTTTTGTGATTGTACCTTGTCGAATACCAAAAGTTCCAGAGGCATAATTACTGGCTCCACTTGCATATCCAATATGGACTCTGTCCCTCTTAGTAACTGGTATTATTATTGTAACCCTAACTCTTCTATTTAACTTTATATTACGAAAATTATATTTTTTTGTAGTTTGAAAAATTAAAACAAAGTTAAAATTTTTTAATGTGGTGATTGAATAGAGGATTGAGAATAACAATTCAAGTTAATAATGTAAAATTATAAATTTCTAAAAATAATGTTGGAGAATGCTTGTTCGGGATAGAGGAGAGTGGCGAAGGATCATAAGAGAGGCCCAGGTTCTTACAGGATAGTAGTGCCAAGAATAAATAAAATAAAAAAATGTTATACAAATTAATTAATACTTACCATTCTAATAGCTGTAATCGGTGTAACATTTGAACCATTAAATTTATTAGCTTTGAATATAGCTTGTTTATCCCAATCAGTCCAATATACGTAATCTTCGAATACAGAAATTGAGAATGGATGATGAAGTGTTTCAGCAGATCTAAGAACTACAGTTCTGCCAGAACCATCATAATTTACAGATGATATCAAATTGAGCTTTGCATCAACCCAATACAAACGGCTCCGAACAAGATCAAGTGTCAACCCGTTTGGCCACTTTATATCATAGGATACAATTGTTCTGCGATGAGAACCATCTAAGCCAGCTCTTTCAATACGTCCTTCTTTTCCCCAATCACTCCAATACATCCAACTTTAAAAGAAAATTCAGATATAATATTTGTAAATTATAACAATATTTCAAATTAAAATTAAAAAATGTGAGTATGAATGGAAAAAACGATGTTAGAAATTATATTCATACCCATCCAAAGGATTTAAAGCAATGGCACGTGGCTCATCCAAGCTATCCTTAATCAAAGTTTTCCTCATACTTCCTTCATAATTAGCAACTTCAATAGTATTTTTTCCAGTATCTGTCCAATAAATATGACTATAGAGCCAATCCACAGCTAACCCATCACATATAGTAATTTCATTACTTATAACAACTGTTCGCTCACTACCTTCATCAATAGGTGCTCTGAAAAATATGATTTATTAATTTCTCTATTGAATCATTAAAAAAAAATTTAAATTATTTTTTTATCTTTATTAATGTTTTTCATATTGTTACATTATCTTACAAGTATTACAACAACTTTTTATTTTCTATTTACTTCTTATTCTTTGAATTTATATAATCTATTGTTTCATTTCATTTCTAAGATTCTAATACTATTTCATGTTTATTTCATTTCTACTAAATATATTATTTCAAATTATGATATCAACTAATTGTTATCACCGTATCTCATTTATTTTATTATGGTAATTATTTTTCTGACTTATTTAAAATTAAATTTTATTTACAATTAAATGAAAACAAAACAAAATATATGATAATAATCCGAAAATTCCACCCCAATAACAGGATCTGCATAGAAGGAAAATCATTCCCGAGAGTAGAAAAGTTCAAATACCTCGGCTCCAAAATAACCTCAATGAATGACCAATGGTCAGAAATCTACCAGCAAAAGATCTACATGGTCTGTCTCTTTTGTAATAATGGTTTTATAATTTTTTTTTTTAATGTAAATTGCCCATAATACTTTTCTATTTTTAAATTAATTGTTATATTTGCTCAATCCTGAATTTTCGGTTTATTAAAATTACTGATGATCAAAGTGGTAAAATATTTTCTTTATGCCTTCACAATTTGAGACATATTATGATATTCAAAGAATTAAATTTCTAAAAACAAATAGATATTAGTCATAAACTTTCCCTAAATGAGTAGTGGTGCAAGATTTGATTTATTAAAGTAAATGAATCCAAGTATAAGCATATTACTTTCATACTCCGACGCAAAGTCTGTCTGCTTATATTTTATAACTATATACCTCTTCCCTTCTCAGACACAGTCCGGTACTTGGGCTTCCTCCTAGACAAGAGACTGACATGGAACCCTCATATCAAACTTAAAAGACAAGAACTATGCTTAAAAGACAAGAATTTAACAAATGATTTATCCAGCTATATAGAATACTGAACAGAAACTCACATCTTTCAATAGAAAACAAACTACTAATATACAAGACCATACTGAAACCCATTTGGACCTATGGACTCGAACTGTAGGTGATAGCTAAATATTCAAACATCAAAGGCATCCAGTCCTTTCAATCCAAAGTCCTTCGAACAATAGTCAATGCTCTATACTACGTCATAAATAAAACTCTACATCATGATCTCAACATCCCATTTGTCCTTGACCTAATTCCATCCAGACTCTCAAACTTCCATCAAAAACTTACCCATCATCCTAATCTCTTAGCAAAATCCCTCTTCAGCTCCAACCATCCATATAATCCCCCACGAAGGATGAAACAGCAACGGCCCCGAGACCTATAGTAAATACGCTATTGGAGTTCTGGCAGTGGTCAGCCTCTCCGCTCAAGTACTGAGTGTATGTGGCTTTGGCGTTCTCACTCAGCCTCCAATGACTTTCAAACAGCGATAGAACTGTAAGAGAAGCACTGGGATCTCTTTGAGCCCTCAGCCCCTAATATTCAGGGTTCCCCAGTGGATTTTTTTTTTCAGATTTTCACCGTTTTTTTTCTTAGTTTTTCTATTTTTTTTACCCATAAATACCTCTGTTTCACAAGTTGCGTTTGGTTTCAAAACAGATTAAATCGATTTATTTAAAAAAAATTATTTATTTATATTTTTCATAAGTGTTAAATGTTTATTTTTATAAAGTTAGATGTATTTGTTTCAAAGCCATTTAGATCTTCCCAAAACCAATACCAAAAGATTTGATTTCCTTTCAAAAGTAATTCTATACAATCTTTTTTGACCAGTTTTAAAGCATTTTTGAAAATGGATGTAATCGGTTTTGAAACCAAACGCCTTAAATAAACAATAATGAGTACAGCTGCCTATAGTGTCACGTAAGCTCTTATCGAAACCTATACTCATGTTACACTTTTTATTTTATTTTATGAAAAGTATATTCGATTAATGGTCTGCACATATATATGGTAGTTCTGAAAAAGTATAATACATAAATTTATTATTATTATTTTTTTAAAGAGAGTCACTTTATATCAAATAGCTTTCGTATATAAATCGAGATTTTTTTTTTACTTTCTTCCCCGGAGAGGGCAGAGGATTAATATCAGAGTTGAAAGTCCCTACGGCACCAGGACGGAAACTCGTAATTATTGTATCTTGTAAACTTCTGTTTACTATGTTGCCGGGTAACGCGTGTTTTGTACAAGTGTTAGTCCGCTCAGCCACCCTGACCTATATTTAAATTGAGTTGGAGTTTGAGAAGTGAATTTTGACACTAACCATTTTATCACTTTTTAACGCTTTGCGCATTTCCATGGTCCCTCTAAATTAAAGTATGGTATTAGAAATTTGTAAATTGAATTGATGTGAGAAAAGTTCCTTCTAAACTCTCAACTTTTTCTTCCACCTCCCCCCTCCCATCGATGTCCCGACATTACTATAAATTTAATTCAGAACTAAATAATAAAATGCTCAAAAACAAAACATAAAAAAGAAGCAGCTTAAATGATTTAAAAATTATACTTAAATCCCCAAGAAAGTATTTAGGCACCTATTTTCATAACAAAAATAAAGGAAACTGTGACCTGAATGACGCTGACATGTTGTGCACTTATATTTATTTTTAAAATGTTTTTTTTTTTTTTTTTTATTTGTTTATTTAGAAATATTACATTCTGTCACATCAAGGACATTTATAATAGTGAAAAAAAAAATGTTTTAATCGGTTATTTAACTTTTTGGTACTGGTTTCGGTCCTCATTAGGCTAAGTGAAATATAAAAAATAGCAACAATAATATAATAAAAAAAACTTTAGAAAACAATTTTTAAAATTAATAAAAATTTAACAATTAAATAAAAACTAATTATCACGTAATTTATTACGGTCTTCCTTTCTTGCTTGCCAGATGATTGTTAAAAATGAAAATAAAACTATTGTTTAGATGGGCTACCCCACCCTCTTACATCATGTTTTCGTTAAACGCTACTAATTTACAGAGCGTAGAATCCTCAAAATTGAGTATTATTGACATTTCAGCATATTATGTCATTTTTTAAAGTTTTTTTCTAGATCTCTGGTTTTTCAAGAAAATCCATTCTTTTTCCTTTAAGTAAGCTTGTGTGAGTTTTACCATACTATTTTTATGTGACAACGAAAAATTTCCAAAATGGTACTTGAAACGAGATGTATGGTATGACACAACTAAAATATTCTTTAATGCTTTTTTTTTTAGTTTCCTTTAGATCTGCCCGATATAAACGACAAACTGAGAGACTCAATCAAGTAAAACCCACGCTTAAAAATCAGAGACATATATGTCTCTTTATCCCCTCGTAATTTAATTTAAATTTGTGATGTAGAATGTTGTTATATTCACATACAATTATGGATAAATATCCTTCTTTATTTAAAAAATATTTATTTTTTTCTTTCAAATTTAAAAGTCAAAATACGTATATTTACTATCCTATTCGATCCTGTAAATATGAATACACTTGTATTTACAGGTGTGGTAAAGAATATTGTCATATTCACATAAAAGTATGTATAAACATTCTTAATTAAATATTAATAATATGGCAAATTTATTGGTCTGAATACAAATATTTACATCAAAATACATGCCTATAAAAATGCATACACTAGTATTTACAGGAGTGATAATAAACACAATAATATTCCCATAAAATTATAATAAGATATTCTTCTTCATTTATTATAAATTTATTTTTACACAAATTAATAATATACAGGGTATTTCGTAATTGCACGGCACTATTTTAGGTATGTGTTCACTAACACATAATAAACAAAAAAGTTCATATTAACATATATCTCAAACTCATTTATTAAACAGATATCAAAGGTTAAAGGTTCATTATTTCTTATTACTATTAATTATTATTATTACAACATTTACAGTAACTGTTCAAAGACGCTTCTGTTTTGTTGAATGCAACATTCAGCACAACGAATCCATGTTTCTCTGGATCTTCGTATAGCATCAGGATGGTGCTTGATAGTTACTGCGACTTCCACAATCCAGCTTCTTAGCTCTTCTTGCATGCCAACTGCCGCAGAATAAACCATAGACTTCTTCCAGCCCCACACAAAATAATCTAATGGAATTAAATCCGGAGATCGTGGTGGCCATTTAACAGGTCTGTTTCGACAAACCCATCAGTCTCCATAAGTTGCATTTAAATAATCAATGACACTATTAGAAAAGTGAGCTGGAGTGAAGTGGAATTGTTATGCATAAACCACAGCCTTTGCCTAATGCCTAGTGGAATATCTTCTAGGAGTTCATGAAGATTATTTTGCAAAAAATGCAAGTAAGATATACCTGACAGCCTAGGTGAAAAAAGAAGGGGCCGATAATGTTGTCACTTAGAGGACCACACTAGACATTTCAAAATAAAATGTATGTTGGTAAGGTCCAATAGCAGTCGTATGAGAGTTTTCTTCAACCCAAGTATGGGTATTTCAAAAATTAAGAATCCCGTTTCTTGTAAAGCAAGATTAATCAGCAACCAAAATGCAGTACAGGAAGTTAGGATCTTGTGTGCATTGTCAAATTAACCACTGGGAGAAATGTCTGTGCTTGTTATAATCTTGTGATAACAAATTGCTTGCAATTGGTAAACAATTGCTTACTCGATACGTGAAATGGATACAATTGTTGTTCCCGTAAAGTTCACCATACGCTGGTAGAGGAAACATCGAAACGACATGACAATCTTCTGGTACTAATAGGAGATAACTGAACAGCATCGAGTATTTCTTTTTCAACATTTGCAGTTTGTCAAAATCTTTGTCAATCGGCGTTTACTCGTATAGGTTTTAGCATGCCATTATCCCTAGGGCATCTTTCAATGGCCTCAAACATTTTACGGTTTGTTGTTCTTCGGTTACGAAATTTTTCACGATATCTTCGAACAGCAGCAGCACAATTTCTATGTACCTCGCCATAAGTTAAAGGCATGTCTGTTTGTTCTGCAAAAGTGAATAAATTTATGGTGTCTCTCATGATAATCATAAATTGAACTGTGTCACAGTATTCACTCACACTAAAACACACAGAATCACACAAACAGATGAGAAACTACTGCCATTGCTTGTCGTTCATTTGTTTATCAGGTGATTAAAACCTTTTATTTAGTATTAAATACGTTAAACTTTGTACAGTCACTCTTAATGTAGTAAATAAATAATAAATCTCTAACTTTTGATATATGTTTAATAAATGAATTTGAGATATGTGTTAATATGAACTTTTTTGTTTACTTTGTGTTAGTGAACACATACCTAAAATAGTGCCATACAATTACGAAACATCTTGTATATTAAATATGAAAAAATTAATAGCGTGTAAAATCCATGTCCATGTCCATCCTATACGTGTTTCCCTGACTGGGACCCCATGAATATAGATGGTATTTTCATCATAGAAAAACCAAATAATATTAAAAACTTCAAAGAAAAAATAGGCCCACAATGTGACTGTTCAAAGGCTGTTTCATTTATAAAAATATTTATTTTTAAGATTATGTGAATAGGACAATATTCTTTATTACGTCTGTAAATACAAACATTTTAAATTTTATTTGCTTAGTAATAAGGAATATTTATTCATACTTTTATGTCAATATAACAATATTCTTTACCGCTTCTGTAAATACAACCATATTAGTATTTAAAGTAGTGAATAAGATATCAAATATATAAATATAGCAAAAGAAATATTTTTTAAATAAAACACATTTATCTATAATTTTATGTGAATACAAAAATATTCTTTATTACATATGTAAATACAATTACTGTGGAATGAGGAGACTTTTGGGCTTTAGACCTCTGATATAGAAAAATAATTTTTTTTTAGACCTATATTTATTTCTGTGTGTAATCTGTGCTAAGTAGTTAAAATATAACAATATGTATTATTTTTAAATTGTAATGTATATAAAGTTACAAAAAAGCACATGTTAACAAAAAATAAATAAATATCTTATCTCTGAAAGCACCATTGTTTCTGTATTTCATTTCTTAGCCCTACATTTTCCTCTGATGTAATTACCATTATTAAAATATTAAAAAAAAAATCTTCCTTATACATAATTCCTAAATTCACTGCTGATGAATTTGACAGTACTGTTATTAAAATCTGTAAATACAACAGTATTCCCTTTTATAGGAGTAAATACGGTTGGAAATATGGATTTAAAATAAAAATGTTAAGTAAAATCAATATTTGTTGAAGAAATAAGAATATTCATTCATACAATTGTGTGAAAATTTTCCCATTCATAAACTACTGTTTTGAAAATTCACATAAAAATAGTACCGTTAATCTCATAAAACCTAAATCTAAACAGAAAAGAATGGATTTTCTTGAAAAAACAGAAATTAAGAAAAATACAATGAAAAACAACGTGCTATGTTCAAATGTTAATAATAATCAATTTGAGGATTCTGGGTTCATTAAATTACGTCTAATGAAAACAAGACGTAGGAGATGATGAATGTCCATCAAGACTATAGTTTATAAGACTATACGTAATTTATTTTACGTTATAATTAGTTTTTATTTAATTGATATGTTTTCATTTATTTTATATATAGATTGATTTTTAAATTTTGCTTTTTATTGTTGTTAATTTTTATATCCTTAATTTTTACATGATTATTATATTTAGCCAGATGAAAGAGCTAAACTAGTAGCAAGATAAAATAAAGAATTATATACGGGAGGACGTCTTTTTATTGAATTTTATTCTTTGTTTATTACTATATCTGTTAGATATTTCAAGAAATGTTCTTCCCATCATCAGGAACATATAATACTATTAACAATTGACCTTTTTTATTTTATAAGAAAAAAAAATTATAGGATAAAGAAGCATAAATAAATAAATAAAATAATTTTTTTTTTAAATTCCCGTACATTTCCAGGTTTGAGAAATTCTCGTACAATTCCCGGTTTTTGTGGTCGCTGGACACCCTGATATAGGAATGAGTGTGACAAGTAATTTTTTTTTTCTTTTAATGTATTTCTTTCTTTTTATTTTTGCAAGTATTTTATATTTTTGTTATTATTTTATTGTATATATTTTTTACTTACATGTTTTATTCTTATTTCTTTTTTCTCAATTTTTATATAATAGCATGAATGTACACATAGAGCCTTAATGCCCAATGCCCTTGATTGCGGTAGATTGTATTATTATTATTCCAATAAACAAAATTAAAAAAAAAATGTCATAAAATCTGACAAAAGAGAAAAAAAAGTAATCTTATTCAAAACAGAGTATGAAAATAAAATGGAAAGCCTTATTAACCATTTACCTATATATGAACTATGTATATAGTAAGGAAAAGTATTACAATCATGAAAATTTGTTCCTGTCTATATTATATTAAAAATTATAGAAAACCTATATTATATTACTATATTAAAAATCCCTTACTATATATTTCATATAGGTAAGTAACAGTATTTTGAAATCACATGAGTCTCACAAAATGGTGAAGGAATCTTAATTTGCAGTTTAATGCTTTTTGACAGTAAACCATATTCTTTTATTAATACTATTTAATAAGTTTTAATATCTCTATTAACATTTAATAATTCTATAACATTTAATTTGTCTTTACTATAAAGAATAATTTATCAATATATTTTTTTCTTTTTCAATTCTATTAATTTAACTATCATTACATTAGAATGCTTTTAGAGCTGGATTCAAAAACATGAATGCTTCTATTGTTTCATTCATATTATTTATTATAGGTCAGAGGTTATTATTTGGTTTAAGTGGTTATTAAACTATTAATTCTGGGTTTAGTATGATATGTAGCTAATAATAAAATATGAATAAATTATGAGTCGTAAAGGAATAATAAAGAAACCACAATTTGTGTTATTATGATTACCATATGGGAGGTATTGAGATTATCTCACAATTACTTTCCTCGCAAAAAACTTATTTTTTAAGGAATTAGTTGTAAAGCGCCACTTCATGAGACATAAGTATTTTGTAATTAAAATACATAATACTTTTGTGTTATCCTATGCTTTAAAATACACCATACTGTCATAAATTTTGACTAAAAGCTAATTAGTTTTCTTTATTTTGTATCCAAGTTAACTCGGTCGAGTGATGTGTGTGCAATTAACTTTATCTTTTATGTAATAAAGAAATATTTTTGCCCTTCTCCCTCAAAGATTTTTAAACATTCTTTAGTTTTTTAAGAAAAAAAATTGTGGAAAAGTTATGGCTTTCAAATTTTCAATTGGTGTATTAAGGGGTTAACAAGACTTTCCATTTTATTTTGATATCGTGTTTTGAATAAGATTACTATTTTTTTCTCTTTTGTTAGATTTTATGACTATTATCTATTTGTTTTTAGAAATTTTACTCCTTGAATATCACAACATGTCTCAAATTGTGAAGGTATAAACAAAATATTTTATCACTTTGCTTATCAGCAATTTTAATAAACCAAAAATTCTGGATTGGGCAAATATAACAATATAGTAAAAATATAAAAGTATTATAAGCAATATACTTAAGAAAAAAAAATTAATAAAATCATTAATACAAAAGAGAGGCATAAATATTGACGAGTTGGACAAGAGAAGTAATGAAGTAACAGATATAGATATTTGAAATCAACTTATTAAACTGATGATCCTTGTACTTATGACAAGTTCAATTCCTTTGAAAGTGACTTGAGTTAAATTTCACTCAAGTCTTTGTTGTTTGAAAAAAACATACGCCTATATATATATATATATATATATATATATATATATATATATATATATATATATATACATATATAGCCATATATTTAATACATTTATAAAATTTTTAGTATAAAATGCAATCACTTTACTATTAATTATACCTAAAAACAAAAAATATCAATGTTTTAATTGTGTTCTTTATATGTTTCATTTCCTTGTTAAACCTCCAAAACTTTATTTTGGAATCTTAAATACTTTTTAAAATATAAATTTTCAAAAATGTATGTAAACAAACTTTTTGCATTACCGACTAATGTTGTATTAAGTGACATAATTTAGCGTTATAATATAGGGTTAGTGATCCTTGTACATTCATTTTTGCTAGATATGCATTACATAAAGGGAAAGGATAGGAAGTCTTTAAGTAACAAAAAAAATATTAATTAGTATGTTTAATTTGCAACTTCAATATCGTGACAGTAATAATAATATCATCGAAGTTCTGTTCAAAAACCTTACTTATCAATTCACTACTGTTAAAGAAAGCATATTTGATAAGACATATTATAAAGTAGAAAATATCAATATGGAAGTTTTACAGTGTTAAAAAATTTTGTGGATATTCATGCCAAGAATCTAAAAAGGTGGAAATCCTAGAGTACACAATTTATTGAACCCTTTTTACAGAGCACCAATGATATTGACAAATTCAGTAATATTATTTTAAGTTCACTTCCAAAAGGTAACAGGCATATAGGTAATAATTAATATCATATAATCATTAATTAACAGTTTTGTTTGATAACAGTTTTTTTGTTTTTTTATATGGAACGTAACATTGAATTCACTTTGACATAAAACAGTCCCTTGTAGAAATTGATTAACGAAGTGACTTTAAACTGACTTAAAATAGGAACTGCCTATTTTTATTTATGATTTTTTGTATAAAATTTGTATAATAGCTAAATGTTAATGTACACAACATTAATTACATAATTTCTAGTGCTAAAGAAGGGGATGAAGCCCTGAAATGTTAACAACTTTATATTGATGTTTTAATTTTTAGTTAATAGAAGACAAAAAAGGAAGTATAGTTGTCATGACTTTTATTTAAATTGAATAGAATTTCCACAAAATTAAAAAAAATATAAAATATATATAGTTTATAGATTTTGAGTTGAAAATACAAAAACAAATTTTACTTGAAAATTTTTTTTTCTGATGAATCACTCCAGAATATCATTCCTGTTCTGAAAACAAAATCGAGAGCTGTGGCTGACTTGGTGTCATTCACTATTGCTGTCATTTCATGATGGTCAAGAGAAATTTTACGAATGTCATGTCGTCTAGTAAAAAGAAGACTTGCATGACCTTCAGTTGCTTTGCAACGAGTACGATCATGGGGATCTCGTAGATACCCCTCTTGGCACTCACACTTGAATGTCCCTTTTTCATTCACACATGTATGTGAACATGAACCAGGATCTTCACATTCATTGATATCTAAAAACAGACACTATTTAAATAAAATATATCTCCATGTATAAGTTTTAAAATTGAATTTAAATAGTAATAAGCAAAGTGATAATAAAAATTAAATCAAGAGATTTTTTTGTTTGTAAATTATCAAGGATGGTGTATAGTCAAAATGTTTAGTAATAATTTTTTAAAAATTAAAATAAAAAAAATTTGAAAATCCTGACTACACCATCCTAAATAATTCTAAATATTAAATCTTCTTCTGGAAGAAAACTAAGCCTCAGGTAAGGATTGGTGGAGACTTTTGAATGAGTTTAAAGTGAAAGGAAGACTGAGACAAGGTGACACATTGTCACCTATATTATTCTACCTAGTCCTCAAAAAGCTTTTACATTACCAGCTCTTTCAGTAGTATTAACAAAGTTTGAAGCAGGGGTGGTGAAAAAGATCATGAGGATAAACAAAAGTAAGACAAGGTATGTGCGAATGCCCAGAACTCGAGCAATAGAGAAAAAGTGCATAGAAATTAATGGACACAAATTTAAGTGCTGTAAGAGTTTCAAATACCTAGGCTTTCTTGTAAAAGAAAAAAAAATTAATTACAGAGATAAAAGAGTAGCATCTGGTAGCAGATGCCTTTTTGTGCTGACTAAGGTGCTTAAATTTCATGAATTGTCTTGTTTTGCAAAAACCACTGAATACAGGACTATATATGACTGAATACCATGACTGTAATAAGAGTGGTGGTGACATATGGAAGCAAGTCCTGGGTAACACTAGCGGATCCAGGATTTAATTTTGGGGGGCTTCAACCTGAAAGCTTTTTTCTCATATATATAACGATAATTACTTTGGAAAAAAAGAAAGACATTAACTAGCTGTATGAAATAGTGTTTAAGTGATTCTTGAAGTATTATTAAATGTAATAACACGAACAATAATACTTTAAGAGATAATTTTTTAATATTTTTTCCATAAAACATGGTTACATTTTACCATTTTGTGAGGGCTTTAGCCCGAAAGCCCCCTCCTCTCCTATAGATCCGCCTCTGTTGGGTAATGACTATGATCCCAAAAATTTGGAAAAAATAGATCTTCAGAAACATATTTAGTCCAATAAAGGAGCATGAAAATAAGAGAATTAGAAAACAATAGTGTTCTCTAATAGCTCTTTGGCCTGATGTAGATATATATAAAAAACATTAAAGGAAGGAGATGGTCCGGGATGGCAGTCATAAATAGGCTAAATAGTGGCAACACTATTTTATTAAAAGCCAATGTTTCGACCCAACTTTACAGGTGCATTCTACATCAATGTATGATCTTCAGTTTTCACTTTGTATTCATTTTACTTTTTAACAATGTCTTAGTATTATCTAATATTTAAATGTAATTTTCTTACATATGTACAACCAAATATAATTATAATTATTCATATTTTTTTTCCTCTCTATACTTCTAAATTAGTTCTGCAATGCATGGTCTCTTATTTCTATATTTATATTTTAATTCTTCCTTTTTGTTTTTATTTACATTGTACTCTTATCTATAATCTCTTAAGTCTATTTTATATGTATATGTATATGTATATATTTATAATTTATTATTTTATAGATATAGTGTTTTTCCTTTGTATCCATCCATATCTTCAAATTTTAGATACTGCAATTTTCTAGGTTTTTTTCCCATTGACCCAAACCGGTCAGCAAATTCTCCAATACCTACCCTTAACCTGATTTTCCAGTTCTAAGTGAAAATCCTAGCTGAACACACCTGTAAGTCTCTATTTTTATTCTTCTAATTTTATTTATTTTTTGGTTTTCTTTTTTCTTTTCTTTCTCCACATCCCTTTATGTCTATTATTTCATATCATATCCTTTTTCCTTTTCTTTCAATGTCTCCTGTAGATCTGTAGAAGTATATTCACATTTGCATATATTATATATTACACTACAACAATTGTTACCATCTACTTACTTCAGTTTAGGATCTTGTTACTTAGCTTACTCTGTTTATATTTTAATGTACTTACGATTAATAATTTTAATAAGCTTATTCAAATTGTTTATAATTTTTTGTCTAAATATTATCTAAACTACAATTCTCTATATCCTTTTGTATCTTGTCCGTTCTAGCACTGAAGAAGACCTGCAAAGTCGGGTCGAAACGTTGACTTTTAATAAAATAGTTTTGCCACTATTTAGCCAATTTATGACCGCCATCCCGGACCATCTTCTTCCTTTATTATGCAACGGTTAACTATTCAATATTCAATAAAAAGAATTAGTTTTACATCAACTTTTTTAAAAGCACATAATATAAATTATTTCAACTATTCTAGTGATAATTTATTAATTATATGATTTTTTCAAATAAAGAAAATAACAACATAAGTATTAAAAAAAGTGTTCAAAAGTATTAAAAAAAAATTAAACAGTACTTGTATAAGTACACCTCAGAAGAATTTGTAGGCCAGTCAAATTAGCACAAAAGGGGTATACCGTGCAAAAGGTTGGGTAATTCAAATTTCTTTTTTATATTATTAGGTAAGTAGTGAGTATAAAAAATCCAATTTTCCGCCTTGGAAACATTGTGCTCCAAAAATCATTGAAATTTTGAACTTTTTTTGGTTTACGCTAAATATCTCCTTTTTAGAGTGATATAGATAAAAAATGGTTATATTCAATCTTAAACAGCTTAAAATTATCTAACATTTTTTCTAAATCCAACAGAAAGCGAACTATCAAGCTTTCAAAATGGGTAAAGTTTTGAAAATTCGCAAAAAACATGTATGATTTTTTGATTTCAACTAATTATCTGTTTTTATAGGCGACTTAATTCAAAATTTTAAATTAAATATTAAAGCACATACAATTTAGTACAGCTTATACATGAAACATATTTTTCTAAGCTCAACAACTTAAATACAAATTACTAGAAAGAAATTGATGTTTGAAATTTTAAAAATCCTTATAATTTTATCTTTCCTGTTTTCCACTTATTTTAACAAAGATAATCAACAATTACTGATTTTCATGTTACTTTCAATGCTGCATCATTTAGTACTCATAAATGGCTTAGTTATAATGCTATACAAGGAAGTAAAAAGAAAAAAAAATATTTTTTACATAAATTAGGCCAATTATCACCAAACATTTTATTGATACACTATTTAATTCGACGTTTCGACCATACTAAGGGTCATTTTCAAGTCTTGATGAGTCTTCCGTTATATATTCATCATTAATGTCGCAAATAATATGTTCAGTGAACATTAAATTGTCATGGTCTATAGAGATTTCACCTACGTCATTTCTGAAATATATGTATACCATCCTTCTGAGCTAGTGAGCTATTAGTTGCATTTGCCAATATTTAGGCAAACCTAGATAGGATCAGCGCCTGGGCAAGTTTGAATAATTTAAGGCTAAACGCGATGGAAACTCAAGCCATTGTTGTAGGTTCCAGTTCTCTTCTTAAATCCAACTTCTTCCATCCTCTTTTAATCATAAACGATCATCCCATCACATTCAGCTCTTCTTTTAAAAACTTGTGAATCACCATTGAAGAAAACCTCTCCTGGAACCCCATATCGGCTTGATCTCCCAATGGTCAATAGGTACCCTTAAGTTATTTCATTGGTTCTGTCACCTACAATCACAATCTATCCACAAACTCCTTGTATGCTCTTTTATTTTCCCCCCTCTTTGACTATGGTTGTGTGGTGTATAGTAGCATCCTGATGGTACTCGAAGACAGATTGAAGCAACTTATGAACACCTCAAAATTTGTCTTCGGTAATTCGAGGCGGTCCCATCTTTATGACAAGTTAAAGTGGCTCTTCACTTCTTTCCACAGACAATATTTCCTTGAATCTTACCTATTCCGAACGATAGACTCCTGGCACTCTTCCTACAGTCCAAACCCATATTCCACTCCCAGAAAACAAGATTCTGTGTTTCCGACCTTCATACCCCACTGCCTTCTGGAATCCCTTGCCATCTGATATCCACCATGCCTCTTCCTTGTCCTCATTCAAATACCATCTCTACCAATTCCTTCTCATATCCCAAAATGAAGCTGAACAATCATGAAATAAATTTTATGAATCAATTTTGGTTGTTCAAATTGTTTAAGTTTTAATTTTAAGATTCAACTCATAGTGTTAATAACACTTTGTTTTTATTTTCCTTGAATTCTGTTTTTCTTTTCATTCCAATAATGCTTTAATTTTCAAAATGTTTTTATTTTCTGTTGTTTATATATTTTCACTGAAAATATTGTATATATTCTTTAATTTTTATTAATGTAGTTTTTAGGCAGATATGGTTTTTGTTTTTTGTTAATATTCTTAAGGGACCTTGTCCCAGAATAAAGGTTATTTTCTATCTATCTATCTATCTATCTATCTATCTATCTATCTATCTATCTATCTATCTATCTATCTCTCTCTCTCTATATATATATATATATATATATATATATATGTATATATATATACATACATACATACATACATACATATATACATGCACAAACACATACATGCATATACTAAGACACAAAAAATATAAACATCATGTCTATTTTCATTTAAAACAACTGATATAATCAGAATGAATTTAAATAAAGGAGGTGAATTTAAATAAAAATCTTAAAACTTTGAGATACGTACCATCACAAGTGAAATTATCAATAAGCTTGTAGCCTGGGCGGCAATCACATCGATAACTAGTTGGAGTATCTATACAGAGGTGTGAGCATTCACCATTATTCGTAGCACATTCATCAACACCACATTTGCCTACTGGTTCGTCTTCGCTGTTTGGACAGTCTGGGATTTTATTGCATACCTTATTCATTGCTATACACGTTTCACCTCCACAATCAAACTGATCATTTTTACAGGATGGAATCGGGCTTGCTAAAATTATGAAAACAATTCAGAACTTAAATCAACCCTCTCTTCATTTTAAAGATGAGAAAATACATAAACAAACCACAATTTTCTTCATCACTCCCATCTGTGCATTCAGCTAGTCCATTGCAATGTAAGTGACCAGCTATACAGAGATTATTTCTACACTGAAATTGATCTGGACGACATGTAACATTTTCACACTGATCAGAGCTTTCATCTGCACCATCTGGACAGTCTGAATCCCCGTCACAGACCCATGAAGGATGGACACACGTCATTCTATCAGTACATTGAAATTCTTTATCAAGGCATACAGAAAACACAGCAATATCATTTGGACAATCCTGAAAAATCAAAAAACAAAAAACTATTACAGCATTTAAACTATTATATTCATCACACAGTGAAATCCCAATATAACTTCAAAAGTACTTTTTTCAAATAAAAAAAAGAAATGTATATATACTCTTCTACTTGTAGTGAACTCAGAACATTACGAAGTAGTTACTTTACTACTGGCTAGTTAACATACCTCTATCATGTAACTCATTTCATTTTGTTCAAGTTGCTTAAATTTAAAATAATAAACCATAGAATTAATAGACAGTTGAGATTTCCTCAGAATTTAATATGAAGTGAGTGTAGTGAAATTATATAGCATTTCCAAGTCAATAGCAACCTTTTCCAAGTCAAATTCAACCTTTTCCAAATAAAATTAAACTTTTTCCAAGTCAAATTCAAACTTTTCCATTTCAAATTCCACATTTTTTTATTTAATTAATTATCTTTAATTTTTCGATGTATAGGTCAGTTATCGTATGAGTAGTTTTTGAAAATAACCTCCATTTTAAAATTACGCCACTGCGTTTCAATTTATTTAAGTTATTCGAATTTATTTGATATAAAGGTCTACTTATATGTTTTTGGGACCGTAAATTTTGAAAATGACCTACATTTTAAGATTATGTCACTGCGTTTTGACTTATTGAAGTTTTTCTGATTTCTTCGATATAAAGGTATATTCTTATGTTTCCGAGACCGTAAATTATGAAAATGACCTCCATTTTAAGATTACGCCACTGCGTTTCACTTAGTTAAGTTTTTCGGATTTTTTTTTTATAAAGGACTACTTTTATGTTTCCTGAGCTGTAGATTTTGAAAATTACCTCCATTTTAAGATTATGCCGCTACGTTTAGACTTATTTAAGTTTTTCAGATTTATTCGATATAATAATAATAATAATAATGATTTATTTATTCTGGGACGAGTCCCTTTAGAATAATATAAAAAGACAATAATATGGGCTAAGGAGCCTTAGAGATACAGAAACAAAAATATAGAGTAATTAAATAGTCAAAATAAAAAAAATAATAGAACAAATTATAAGTTACTTACTAATTTAGATCAGTTTAGAGAATAAAAAACAAAAAATTGAAAATAAACATGAAGTAAAAATAATGAAGAACGCTCTAATAATTTATATACATATTTACAGTAGTAACTATTTACAATTTTACTTTTCTATACTATTACAATAAGGGTGTATTCTTATGTTTCCAAAGTCGAAGATTTTGAAAATGACCTCCATTTTATAATTAGGCCACTGCGTTTCAACTTATTTAAGTTTTTCAGATTTTTTCCATATAAGGGTCTACTTATATGAATTTTGAACAATTAGCTGAAAAATCTGAAAATAGTAGGTTAAATTTATTACCAGCTGCTTTTTCGGCTTCTTACTTTGTGTTTTGTGGTTAATTTAACATTAGCTTCATAATACTTATTTATTCATGAAAAATAAGCCTAATTAATCGAGATGAATAATCTTGAAATCGATATTAAATATTAGATAAATTTAAATATTAAAGATTAGATAAATGCTACATCTCTGAAGTAGATCCTTATACCGAATAAGTCCAAAAAACTTGAATAATAATTTGAAAATTTTTAAACTTTATTTATTGAACGAAAAAATTAAGTAAGTCGAAACGCAGTGGCGTAGTCTTAAAGTGGAGACCATTTTAATCGAAAAAATTTACGATATCACAAGATTATATTACAAAATGGTGAAAGTAGAGAAACCATACCCCAAGAGAGAAATCGTGCAATGACGTAATTGTCAGGCGTACGGCCACTCGAAGACTTTTTGTCACCATCTGCCTTGTTGCGTGAAATGTGGTGAACAGCACATCTGTGGAGTGCACCAAACCGATACAAGATCCTGCAGTGTGTGCACTATGATTTGAGACACACCTGGCCAACTACAAAGGCTGCTTAATTAACAAGAATCTCTAATCCAGACACCAGAAAAAACTGATTCAAGATGAAGCAGTAAGAACAAAAAGAGAGAGAAAGAGCCTTCTATAATAGTGAACAATAGCGTATCATTCTCCCAGCTACTTAAAGGTAAGAATACAACCGATAAATGTCAAGCCTGCCGCAACAACAAACTCAACCCTAAGCTCAAAATCCTAATCATCCTAATATACCTATATCGAATAAATCCGAAAAACTTAAATAAGTCGAAACGCAGTGACGTAATCATAAAATGGAGATTATTTTCATAAACTAGGCACAAAATTATATAATACTAAACCCTTATATGGAATAAATCCGAATAGGTACAATAAATTGATATCCCAACCAGGGAACCAAGACCTCCTCCGATATTTGTAAAAAATATCAAAAACTTCCAGCTATTGTGTACACAACTAAACAAACTCTGCTCTGGCAGTTATTCATTCCTCAACAGAACCAACGATACAAAAATAACAACAGATACTGCTGAAACCTACCGAAAAATAGTGAAGTACCTATCGGAAACAAATGCGAATTTTCAATCGTACCAGCTGAGGCAGGAGAGATCTTTACGAGTAGTGATAAGAAATTTGCACTCTTCAACCCCAACTGAAGTGATTAAAGAAGAACTAACAACGCTTGGTTTCAATGTACTTCAGGTAATCAACGTCTTACAGGAGAACAAGGAGCAGTCAGGGTTAACAAATAAAATACCTCTACCATTGTTTTTCATAGACTTGGAACCATCACTAAGTATCGAAAAAATATGCGATGTATTACACAATGGTGGAAGTAGAGAAACCATACCCCAAGAGAGAAATTGTGCAATGCCATAATTGTCAGGCGTACGGCCAGACGAAGACTTTTTGCCACTATCTGCCTTGTTGCGTGAAATGTGGTGAACAGCACAAATCGGTGGAGGGCACCAAACCGATACAAGATCCTGCAGTGTGTGCACTATGATTTGAGACACACCCAGTCAACTGCAAACGCTGCTTAATTAACAAGAATCTCTAATCCAGACACCAGAAAAAACGGATTCAAGATGAAGCAGTAAGAACAAAAAGAGAGAGAAAGAGCCTTCTATAATAGTGAACAATAGCGTATCATTCTCCCAGCTACTTAAAGGTAAGAATATAACCGATAAATGTCAAGCCTGCCGCAACAACAACCTGACCCCTAAGCTATTCATCTTAATATACCAAACCATCAACAAAAAATTCATCATATCCCTCCTCCTACCAATGCAACAAATCTCACCAGTTTGTTAGCATCTTTCCTCACCGATTTTAAATCCCTAGTTACTCCGCTCATATTACTCCTCACAAATCTTCTCACAAAGTATCTCACCTCATCCCTCCTTAAAACAATTCTTAATGAGTCACATTCCCAAAACCCATATCGATTCTTCTCTGGAATGCGAATGGTGTTAGAATTCACGTTGAAGAAATAATAGCTTTACCAGTGGACAAGAACATCGACGTAGCACTAATTAACGAAACTCGAATAACCAGAAAACAGCTTTTAAAAGTAACTCAATATATAACATACCCTACTGACCGTCCTGACGGTAAAGCACAACCCGGTACTGCTGTTATTGTACACCAATCACTTTCTTATGACCAGCTCCCATTACCGACTCAAGATTTCATACAATCTACGGCAATCGTAATCAAAACCTTCTCCTTTACCGTCACCATAGCATCAGCATATTGTCCTCCGAACAGATCCATATTTAATGTCCAGTTCAGTTCTCTTCTCAACTCCTTAGGACATCACTTCATCCTGGGTGCAGATTTAAACGACAAACATCATCAATAGGGTTCTATAACCAAGATCAAGTCCTAGACCTTATCCCAGAAAAATTCTCGAAATTTCACCAGAACCTTACCTATCATCCAAATCCCCTTGCACAATCCCTATTCAGCACCACATATCCCTAGAATCCTCCAAGAAGGTTAAAATGGCAGTGGCCCTGGGACCTGTTATAGTTTGTAAATATTTGAGTTCTGGCAATGGCCTGATTCTCAACTCACGACAGGACTGTATATGTGTCCGTGATAGACTCAAAAGACTTACGAATAGCTTTGTAAGATTTGTACTTGGGACCCCGAGACACTCACGTATCTCCCACCACTACACTGAGTTAGGGTGGCTCTTCCCCTCCTTAAGGGAATATTTCCTAGGTACTTTTCTTTATCAAATCATTACCGATCATTGTCCTACTTATTTCTACAACCTTCTCCAATTTAAGTCCTCAATCCATTCCCTCATGAGAAGATCTCGACCCTCTGACCTATAAATCCCTTCTCATAGATCTGCCTCATTCCAAAATTCCTTTATAGCCCGCTCTGTCAACTTTAGGAATTCCCTCCCGATCAAAATTCGACATGCCCCTTCCCTATACACATTCAAAAACCTCCTATTCCAATTCCTGTTCCAAAAACAGTCAGATACCAGCTAACTATTAATACTATATATGTATTGTGTAGCAATCATATAATCATAATACTTGGCAAGAGATAGTACATGCATTTCCTACTATCGACGTAGGAATTTCAATACATACATTTTTTTTTTTATTCAATCATAGTTAACTGTATATATATATATAATATATATATATATATATATATATATATATATATATATATTCAAGTAAAGTTTTTTTTTTTATGAAATGAACTCATTCTATCTCTTTTTCATTCTTCATTTCTCAAAGTGTATGTTTATGTTGTTCAACCCTTATATATAGTTTTGTTCATAATTCAAGTGATTCGTTCATAGTTTTAATTGTTTTGTTCATAATTTTAGATGCTCTGTACATAGTTTTATCTGTATTGTATATAGCTTGTGCACCTAAGGTTTTCTTTACTTTTTATTTTATTTTATCAATTTTATTTATTGTTTCAAATGTTTAGGCCAGTGTTATTCTATTATTTAGTACATTATTGTTATTCTGGAGAGACTTAGTCCCAGAATAAGGTTTTTTTTTCTATCTATCGATCTATCTATATGGCTAAAGCACTGGTTTTAGCACAATCTCCA